TGTCCATGTGCATAGATCACTGAAAGTTGCCACCCAGGTTGATAGCGTTGTTAAGAAGGCGTACAGTATGTTAGGTTTTATTGGTAGAGGGATTGAGTTTCGGAGCCATGAGGTCATGTTGCAGCTGTACAAAACTCTGGTGCGACCGCACTTGGAGTATTGCGTACAGTTCTGGTCACCGCATTATAGGAAGGATGTGGAAGCATTGGAAAGGGTGCAGAGGAGATTTACCAGGATGTTGCCTGGTATGGAGGGAAGGTCTTATGAGGAAAGGCTGAGGGTTTTGAGGCTGTTTTCGTTAGAGAGAAGAAGGTTAAGAGGTGACTTGATAGAGACATACAAGATGATCAGAGGATTAGATAGCGTGGACAATGGGAGCCTTTTTCCTCGGATGGTGATGGCTAGCACGAGGGGACATAGCTTTAAATTGAGGGGTGATAGATATAGGACAGATGTCAGAGGTAGGTTCTTTACTCAGAGAGTAGTAAGGGCGTGGAATGCCCTGCCTGCAAAAATAGTAGACTTGCCCACTTTAAGGGCATTTAAATGGTCATTGGATAAACATATGGATGATAATGGAATAGTTTAGGTTAGATGGGCTTCAGATTGGTTTCACAGGTCGGCGCAACATCGAGGGCCGAAGGGCCTGTACTGCGCTGTAATGTTCTATGTTCTATGTTCTATGTTCTATGACTCTTTTGGTAAAGAAGGAAGCATAATCCATGGTGTCTGTACCAGGGCTGTGAAAGATATTTCCAATTAGTCCCACTATTTTGCTCTTTCTCGAAAATCCTGGAGATTGTTTTCCTTTTCAATTCCCTCTTGAAAGTTATTACTAAATCAATGTCCATTAGTTTCTCAGTTGTTTTGTGTCAGAACCCTCTTGACATAAAATATCAATCATATTTTTGGGCAGTACATAAACAATCAGGAAGCAGACAGTTCCAATTAAAGGTGGTCAATATTGTAGTGGTGCCCCTCCCCCTCAATCCTATTGTCTCTATAGCTGCTGACCACCCGACTACCCTTCCTGATATAACAAGGTGTAGAGCTGGATGAACACAGCAGGCCAAGCAGCATCTCTCTTTTCAGGTGTTGTGCTTCTTTCTTTAAATCTGCCACGACTGCTTTAATGCCATGACTGCAGTCTGTATGTCATCAATAGGAAAGAGCTGAAAACTGTGCTGTTATAAAATAATGAACATTTATCAGCTATATGCAAGGTTGACAGCTGCAAAACTCTACCAGACTCCTTCGCAGGTTCCAGACACATGTGATCTGACATCATTGGTGGTGCTCTGTAATCTTTAGAATAACGAATGGCTGCCAAATCCCAAACTACCATGTGCATTGTCCACGCAAACCATTGGCCCATTCCCAAGTTTCCCTTCATCTGCGAAGTCCGTCAGGAAGTTTTCACCTCCCAAATCCACGCTGATCTTTCCCCAAACAGGTTTCTGTCCCGGTCACAGAAACGACACAGCTCTTATTCAAGTCACAAATGATACCACATATGATTGTGACAAAGGCAAACTATCCTTCCTCATTCTTCTTGACCTAGCTGCAGCATTTGGACAGTAGACCATGTTACTGTTCTTCAACACCTTTGTCATTCAGACGGACTATTCTCACCTGATTACATTTTTTATCTAATTTTTTTTCCAAAGTATCTTCTCATTTCTGCATTTCTCAGATAAACTTCCCTTGGTTTCCCTTCTATTTCTCATCCACATACTGTCCCTTGGCAATATCATCAAAAGTACAGTGTTGTTTTTCCATATACGCTGACTACACCCCTGTTCTACCTCATTGTTGCTAAATTATCAGGCTGCTTATCCGACATCCAGTATTGGATGAGTGGAAATTTCTGCCACTTACTTATTGGGCAATCTAAATCCATCCTTCTTGAGCCTGGCTCCAAACTCTGTTCCCTAGCTACCAATCACTGTCCTTGGCAATTGTCTGTGTCTACAGCACAATGTTCACAATCTTGTGTAATATTTGACATGAAATGTGCTTCCAATTCAGTATTCATGTCATCACCAAACCCCATACATTTCCATTTATGTATCCTTGTTCAATTACATATCTCTCCCATCTCAATAGCTGCTAAAACATTTATTCATAACTTTAGTTAGCTTTTGGCTTGACTATTACAATACACTCTTAGATAGTCTCCCACATTGGACTCTCCCTTATCTTGTTGTGATCCAAATTTCTGTTGTCCATGTCCTAAATCAAACTTTGTCCCATTCACCTATCAACGCTGCACTCACTGACCTACATTGACGGATTCCCAGTCATGCAATATCTTGAATTAGACATCCTCATCCTTGTATTCAAATCCCTGCATGACCTTGCTCTTCCCTATCTCAATAATCTCATGCCCACAATACTTACCTGCAGCCTCTTGAGTATGCTGATTTTAATCACTGTCCCCTTAATAACCATACTTTCAGTTGCCCAAGCCCAAAGCTCTGGAATTTCTTCCCTACATCTGTAAGTCTCTTTTCCTCCTTTAAGATCTGCCTCCTTAACAAGGTTTTAGGCATCTGACCCAATACCCTTTTAAGTGGCTCCATATCATAGTTTGTCTTAAAATGTTCTTATTGTATTACATTAAAGGTGCTATAGAAATATGTATTGTTGTAACTCAACCCCATTATTGCAAATCATGTCATTAATCTTCCAGTTAGAATAGGTTTATTATGGAGGTCTTGTGGCACATGGTAATCTCCCCACCTTTGGATTTGAGCCACACGCCAGAACTTATTGGTCATGGAAGGTGCATCTGTGATGTGGCTAGATGGGTTGATTGTTCGCCTCTAAATCCTTCCAATACAAGGGCTCTGATTGAAAGACTCCTATCAGCTATCCTACAAAAAGCAATGGCAAAGCACTGCAATATTTTGCCCCTAAAAATGAACTCGCCCAGGGAAAGTCCATGGGTGGGCAGACAGTAATTTTCACTTTGTAACAAGAACATAGAGGACGCTGTCTTAGCAAGTATCTTCTGATTCAGAAATGGTTCTTGATTAATGTAAATATTCAAAACTGCCAGAAATTTTAGTCAAAAAAAAAGAAACTAATGCAATCCAAATTGTAAAGTAGCATTTCCCCATATGGTCATTGCATATTTGAAATTTTGGCATTTAAAATTCATTCTAAGACATTCACCTTTGTGCACAGATCATATTGGGCAGACATGCGAATTTGACCAGGCAATTATATAGTCAATTACCTGAAAACCATTTTCTGCAAATTGAACCATTCAATATTAGAAGGAGAGAATTAAAGTTAAAACTCTTAGTAACCTTGTTGAGGCTTGGTGGAGATTTTTAAGGAACTCTGTACAACTTGTAGAGGCAAATATAATCAATAGCTTGGATTCCAAAATAATTATGAATCCATACATCAATTCAGAAAGGGGGAGGGGGGGCATGTCTTCTTATGTTTACTATGGTTTGTTTGTTTGTTCCTTCCATTATGTGCAAGGTACAAAAAAAAACTTCTGGTCCTGTTGAAAGAAGCAGGGCTTGATCACAGGTAGAATCAGGAATAGATCACAGCTGCCACTGATCTTTAAACATGCTGCTCAATTTAAACCCATCGGATCCCTTCCTAATCCAACATTTTTGTCTCTTTGATTTGACACTGAATTCACCCTTTTAATTCACCCTCTCTCTATTCTGGCTGTATTTACTTTCCAATTGTTAAATCTTTTGATAAGATCTCCTTGCATTATTCACTCAGGTCCCAGATGACCTGTTAATCTCACTGCGCTATTAGAAGATTACACTTCCAGCAACTATGTGGACAAAAATAGTTTGAGTTGAAATGTGCAGGAGAAAGTCAGAATATAAAGGGTTACTTGATTCCTTGTCTATTTCTGATATTTCCATACATGTACACTCTGTTCAGAAGCGTGTTTTATGAAGCTTTTTAGATTTCTGATATTGTAGTTGCAAAGATTATCCACAGTATGGCATGTAGTGTTTGTTTTTATTTCTGCTACTGTCTGGTTATTTCCAACTTTTTGGGTTAACATTAACTCCAACCTTCTATCACCTCTCTTCAATGCTTCATCTTTCTGACCTCTGCTGCCAGCTCTACACAAACTCAGAACAGGGCGTCCAGTTACTGGATGAAGACTTTTAAGGCTAGTTTGACAGGCTTTAATTAATTCTATTAATTCATTGATATATAACCGAGGAAGTCATTCAACAACCTTCCGAACACCAAGACCACCAGCTTTCAAAATATATGCAATTGCAAAGAAAAATAAAATTAGAGATATTTTAGTTCCTAGGTCTCACTAAGATTTCCCACCTGATTTTCCAAGTTCCATGAGGAAATTGAAGGGCTCAACATACCTTTCCGAGTTCCAATCCCAGACTCACTTCCCTGTTGCATAAGCCCAGCAGAAAATTCACTGCCATTTAATGCTCAGGCATTGCAGTCGATGTTACTATCAAACTTTGATGATGTCAATTAGGAATCAAAAGTTCACATGTTAGGAAGGATGACATCAGCTCTTGGCTAGAGTCCCCTGCCCGCTCAGAAAAACAGATTAAGGCACAAACCTGATGATTCCCAACTGCTTCAGGGAAACCGAAGAATTTGGCAATTCTAACTTCCCAAATTTCTGGTTTCCACAGGTCAACTGGAGTTAAAATTGTATCCCAGTGATTTAATCAGTAGAATAGTAGGTCCCTAAACCAATATCTTGATTTTGCATGAGTCTTTGCTGATAGCTTAAAAATTCGTACAAAGGAAAAACGGGTCATGTCAAATGAACTGCACTGAAACTTTTCCATTTAAAAGTAGATCAGCCTCTGACAGAAAAATGCAGAAATTTCTCTCCTATTAAATGCCACGTTATCCACATAGCAAAAATCTTTGGTCAATAAGAGAATAATAAACTCAATAATTAATCAAAGTTTTAGAAGATCTAATTTTATTGATTAAATGTAATAAGAAAGTTACAATCATGGAATTATTACAGAAGTTGGGGACCCAGCATGTACAGCACTATATCGATAGCAGTAACTTCATTTAAAATTGGAATGAATAAAGCTCATGGTCAACAAAACATTTTTTTGAAAAATAGGAAAACTGGCTAAGTTATTCTGGAGTAATCAAACTCTACACATTCATTAATAAATCATATCTTGTATAATTGATTTGATGGTTAACCATTAGCTAATTATGCACATCATTAGGATTGATAAAACATTAGCATTTCAAATCACAAGTCCATGTTTCAGTAGACATCTCACTAGAAAGTGCAGAATTTGCCAGTGGGCACCATGAAGACCACACCTGCCTTAACCTACTGGAAAATCAGGTCTGGAGCTGGCTAGTCCAGGGAAGGGACTATAGCAATATAAATTAGTATCTGCTCAATCTTTATATGGATCCAGTCCATACCAGCTCGGCACCCCAATGGGCCAGTTTTGTTGCCTCAAAAGGAAACTTCTCAAAGTACAAAGCTTGTGCTCGATCTTTGAAAGATGAAGGCTATGGCAGATTCTCCATCCTTAGCCCCAACCCCACTAACACAGGTGCCCTTAGACAAGTGTAGATTATGTCTTGTCTTTGTTTCAACTTGAACCCAAACATATTTTTAGGTGAAAATTCACTTGTCCTGAAGTGCATCAAAACCATTCTTCTTACAATTGGAATTGCAACACTTGCATTGTCCAATCATGTTTAACATAGAGCTTGTCCAAAGGCACTTCAGGAAAGAAACTGCTGAAGAGACAACTTCAGGGTCAATAAGGGAAAATTGGATTTTCTTTTTCAAAATGCAAGAAGTGTAGAAAGTGTAAAAATGTTGGATGACATTTCCAGAAAGTAATTCCAGAACAACCAAAAGCTTTGCCACCAATGGTGTGATTGCACAGGAGAGCAAAAAGGCATTAGTCACAATGCAAAATGTAGGATTTACAGAACATGCACAAGTAGATGAGGCCAGAAAAGCATTAATAACAGAGGGTGAGGATTATGAATTTGATGCACTGGGAGAACAGAAATCAATGAACAATGGTAATAACAGGGGTTAGGAGTAGAGTTTTGAACAGATTTATTTGTGTAAATGTGGGGTACAGTAGGCAAGAAAGCAAAGTATTTGAGAAGTTGAGTCTAAGTGACAGAAATTGCAAATGTGCTGATGGGTTAAACTACAGAAAAAGGCAGTTTTATTATTGGACAAGGTGTGGACTTTGAAACTTAGCTTAGAATCAATCAAAATACTGAATATTTCTCAGCAGCTGTGATGTACTAAGAACTTTGTGACAAATGGAAGTAAGGCAGCTGACAGTAGTCCATGAGAGAAAATTCAGTAGAAAAGGATGGACTAGTTGACTATATTAATATCTAAGGTGAAGCAGGTCAAGCACCACGTGTGCAATAACAAAGGAGTTCTGAAAAAGTCATACAGCACTCAGAATGTTAACTCCATTTCTCTCTCTACTGATGCTGCCAGACTTGCTGAGTTTTTCCAGCATTGTGCTTGTTTCAGATTTTCAGCATCCACAATATTTTGCTTTTAACAAGGGATGCTGTTTATGACATTAAACAAATTAGTCCCAGTACTGTGGCAGGTGAAAAGCCAGGCTGGATGTGTTTAAATAGAAATTTGAGTGAGGTGAGCATAAAGCTTGATAGCAACAATTCGTTCAAAAGATTACAATTAGAAATAGAATTAGCTTTATTGTCACATGTACTCAAGCAAGTACAGTGAAAAGGTTACACTTTACAAAGATCTAAAGTGGTTAGAGATAGAACTACAGTTGGAAAAGAAAATGGGCTTGACTTCTTGAGAAGTGGCACAGGTGAGAGGGGGTGGTGAATGTTGGCAGCAGATTTCAGACGAAAATGGTGTAGATTTGAAATGTAAGCCTTTTTCAATATTGTGAAAAGTTTTATCATTTAAAACAAAAATCTGCTTTGGGTCCTTTCTTCAAAGCGAAAATCAGAACGCATAAACTCACCACCACAAAAAAAATTACAATTCAAACTGTGGACATTTGTGAAATTTGGATGACAGTCTAAGAAGTACAAGATGCACTGAACAAGCTGCTTCTATGTCAATGCTGAGAAGCCACAAAAATATAAGATTTTCCACAGATAACACTAATAAATACTTACAACAGATTGTGTCATGCATGTAGTTTAGAAACTTGAACATAATTCTGATATTGAACTTTCACTGAACCAGCAGTTGGTTATTTTTTAATATTAGTATTTAAAACAGTTGCCAATTTTAGAACAGATCATTAAATGTCTACTCATTCCTCCAAGTTATTAGTTACCTGTAACTATAATGTCCCTTGAATTACCTGCTGAAACCCTTTCTAACCTTCAATGTCATAATTTTCTATTAACATAAATGTTGAAAATGTTCACTGTTATTTAACACGATCTCCACATTGAATTATTATAAAGCAAGTTCAATATGCAATCACCAAATGCTATTTGTTTCTTTAGCAAAACGCCAAAAACATCAAGTTGCAAATATATTGCATGTCCTAATCTCTTTACATGCAGCTTCAGATTTAGTTATCTGTAATGACTTCCATTTTGAGAATTTATTTCATCTCAGGTTCTTCAGTTTCTTTCATTAACTTATAACGGGATACATTCTCCACACAAAAGAAAGTAGATTTAAGTTAGAGTTGTAATTTAGAAAGAATCAACTAGAAACAACCTATAAACAAGTGATGTCATCTGAACTAAGCTTGATCCATTTTACAAAACATTATTTTAGTACTGGGTAAATCACACTAAATTTAAACATTGTGATAAGTATGTCTAACAATTCGGCTTAGTGGGAAGAGACAGAGAGTGATGGCCAAAAGTTGTTTTTGTGACTGGAAGCCATCCTGCTGGGTCCCTTGGTGTTTGTAGTGTACATTAATTATTGAGACATTAATGAAGGACATATGATCAGTAAGTTCACAGCTGACATGAGAATTGGTGATGTGGTAAATAGCAAGGAGGAAAATCTACAGGACGATATAAACGGGCTAGCTAGCTGAGCAGAGCAGTAGCAAATAGAATTTAATCCTGAAATGTATAAGATGATGCATTTTCTGCAGACCAACAACAAGAGGGAAATACATGATGAACAGTAGAACCTAGGAAGTACAGATAATCAGAGGGCCCTTGGTGTGCATGTCCACAGATCCTTGAAGACAGCAGGACAGATAGATAAGGTGAGTTAGTGGAAAATGGGATACTTGTCTCTATTAGTCAATTACAAGATTAGGAAGGTTATGACGGAGCTGTAGAACACGTTAGTTAGTCCATAGCCAGAGTACTGTGCACAGTTCTGGTTGCCGTACTATTGGAAGGATGTGATCACACTTGAGAGGATGCAGAGGAGATTCACTAGGATGTTGTCTGGTCTGGAGCATTACCCCTATGAAGAGAGGTGAATGCCTGAAATGGCACAGCATACGTGGCTACAGGCCAAGTACTGGAAAATGAGACAAGAATAACTGAATATTTGAAGACCAATGTGGGTACTACAGACTGGAGGGCCTCCTTCCATGTTGTGACCCCAATACCAAAGACACTTTCTGATAAAGACAGCCAAATGATTGAACCTTGTAGAACATGTCAGCTGCAGTTCTTGACAGTAGTGCAGACAATATTTGGAACTTTGAATCAAGTGACATACCCAAATGCCCAAATGAAAATATTACAAGATATTAATAAAATTTGGTGTTATTTCACAATAAGCAAATATACATATTGATTGGAAACATATGGTTGTATTATCTTATGTCATTTATAACAGACAGAAATCATTAATTGTAACTGGTGCTTAGAAGAAGACTTTCAATACTTCAAGATATTATTCCAGAAATTCAAACCTTAAAAGGTAATTCAAATTAGGGCATAACACATGTTCACAAAAATTTGCTGTTTTCTACAACAAAATGTGGAAATATTGCAAAAAAACAGGGCTAATTCTTTGAAAGTTTCAATACCACAAATAATCACAAAAATGTTTCCCTATAATCCTTTCAGAAAGAGAAAGAACTTTGAGACAGTTCTCTCAAAATTTTGCAGGGATTTCAAATAAAATGAGAGAATGAATGTATGCATTTGGTACATGAAATAAAATATAGCAATCATGAGAAACATGGACTCTGTCTGTACAAGCGTGCAATTAACACTACTGCTTCCCCAGGTGAATGCCAGGAAAAACATTTAGAATATTTTATCTGTTAAAAGATGGTAGCAAAATAAACTTTGCTATCAGGACCCATTAAGAGCATCAATTTGCCAAACAGTTCAGCGGTTGATTAGATTCCTCAATTTCCTGGATTATATGATTTGCTATGTTTTTATTTTGTTGATTTTGTGTACTTCTTATTGGTCCTTTTTCATTTCCTTCAATTTATCATTGTACATCTGGAACTGAGAGTCTGTTCCAAACAGCTTGTCCCACCACGTGAAAGTTGAAGAGTAATTTCCAACAAAGTTCATGTGATGAAAGTCATGGAAACGGGAACCACCATAAAATGGAATCAAGTGCAAGGGATTCAAGGGAACATCGTAACCACTGAGAAGAAATAACACAAAAATCATTAACAAGGAAAGAACTTTACTCAGACATTTGTGTTACATTCACATTATTCAATAAGACATAGGAGAAGTAGGTCATTCAGCCCATTGAGTCTGCTCTGCCATTCAATTAGGTCATGACTGATCCGATAGCCATTTTAACACCTGGTAAGTTATACAGCTTCTACATTGGATGTTGTTGGTAACTATGACATAAACTGCGCGTAAAGTTGTGTCCATTTTGAAGAGTGATCGTTTCCTTCGAGTTTCCAATAACTCAAATGCATTTGCAGATCGCTAAAAGCAAATTAATCAGTAAGTGTTTTAAAATGAAATTATTTGAAAAAAAATGACCGTTATACACTTAATAGTGGAAAATTGGTGCCAACTGATTAATATAGCAGGACAATGGGTTTATCCCAAGTTAAACTGCTCAATCTCTCTTCATAAGACATACCTTCATCTCTGGAATCAATCTACTGAACCTCCTCTAACCTGCCTCCAATACAACTACAGCCCTCCTCAAGTAAGAGGACCAAAACTGTACGCAGTGCTTGAGATGTGGTCTCACTCGTGCCTTGTACAGTTTCAGCAATACTTCTGCACTCTACTCTTTCAGCAATAAATGCCAAAATCCATTTGCCTTCCTTATTACTTGCTGCACCTTCATTCTAGTTTGAGATTCATGCACAGGGGACACCCAGATCAAGACAGTGTTAAGTCATTATTTAAATAGGATTAATGTACAGGGACATTTGTACAGAGAAAAGACAGGAGATTTGCTCTAAGTCAAAATGCTCAAAGATCCAGAGCAGATACAATAGACCAAATGGCCTCATTCTGCAGCATACAAGAAACTGTTCTGTCCCATCTTTGGAATGCCACAATGTTCTCATTCAGTTCCAATAACCAATATAGAATTCATAAAGTCACTTTTATATTTGTCTAGTTTTGAGGCAGCACGATGGCCCCGTGGTTAACACTGCTGCCTCACAGCGCCAGGGACCTGGGTTCGATTCCACCTTTGGGCAACTGCTGTGTGGAGGCTGCATATTCTCTCTGTGTCTGCATGGGTTTCCTCCAGGTACTCCGGTTTCCTCACACAGTCCAAGGATTTGCAGGTTAGGTGGATTGGCCATGCTAAATTTCCCATAATGTGCAGGGATGTGCAAACTAGGTGGATTAGCACAGTAGGTTAAGATGCTCTTTGGAGGGCCGGTGTGGACTGGATGGATTGAATGGCCTACTTCCACACTGTAGGGATTCTATGATTCAATTTGGATTCCATGGGACCAACAGGGATTTGGTTACATTCTCTTACATGGTCCTGCACCCAGCTATTGCTGAAGACTGTATCTGTTGTCAGGATATGGTAATTGGATGTAATGGTGTAAACAATAGACTCCCAGAATTCGGCTTGAACAGTGTCAAAATAAAAACAAGTAAAATTCAATTTCAATCCTGATAATATTCCCCTTAACTGTTCACTACAAATCGATTCAACTAATTCCATCCATAACAAAACAAACTCATGGACCAAGTAGCCTCAATGTGTCATTCAAATCTGTTTAATTGGGCGTTATCCAATGTTCTGGTTTTAAGTTGGTGATCCAATAGTATGTCAGAACAATATTAATCACATGGGCTTATATTCAGCAGTGAAGAAGTAATACCAAAAGGATTGTTTCCTCCTCTTTTGTTTAATACATTCTCAAACACTAATCAAATTGGTTTTATGGTGTTACTTGAATAGCATCTTTACCTGTGTACATCTATTGTTTCCAGAAGACGAAAGATCACCCAAGCCCACAGGAGGATTACATGATTACAGAAGATCATAATGCCAATGAAGAAACCCATTCCGAGGATGAGTGTCTCTGCTGGATGGGCATATTCAGCTTGCATGCCAAATGGTGCCTAGAAATTTGAAGTAAAATAAAACTGAGTGGCACATGCATAAGTAATCATTCATTGAAAGTAAACACTGATGTAATGACAAAATGATAACAATAACAGCTGGTGAAAGTACAGTGAAAAAAACCTCTTCTGTGCTGTTAACAGCAAGAATTAATATGAAGCCTTTGAAAGCAGAATTCAGAAGTTTGCACAAACAGTTTATCTCAGTAAATAACATAACTCCAGTTATTGCCTTGATTGATTAGGTTACAGGTGAAATATTTTATGTATTCACTAGTTCTCAACACCAGAAACAAGAGAACAAATCAATATACATAATTTTCAGCATTTTAATATAAATCAAAAAAGAACAACTAATTTACATAATAGCGAAGAAAATGAGACCTAGAATCAGGGTGTGGTTCCACTGCGACAAATGATTCACCAGCCTAAAAAAGACCAATCACAGAGCCATAGGAAACCGCTCCACTAGGGTTGTTCATAATATTACTGTCAGCTACAGGGCCATATACAAAATGTAGATGTATACAACTGTGAACAGAACAAAGAGCAAATGGAGTTGAGTAATATACAATGTTGAAGTTGTGGAACAGTAAATAAGTGTTGGACAATTGGTGGCGAGGCAATTCACAAGTGTCAAAAACTTTGTCATCGTACCAAAACAAAAACAGTGACTCACCGTAAATTCATGATGAACTTTATGAATATATTTGTAGATTCTCTTATGGTGCAGCAGTCTGTGCAGGAAGTAGTGCCAAGTGTCTTCAATAATAGCACAACCCAGACATTGCACTGCAATGATCTGCCTGTTTCAGAAGGATAATACAGTGGCATTTAGGAACACTACATCAGCAAAAACTACTCTTTTGAACTTGAACCAGCAGAATTTCATTATTGAACCACAAGACTAATTCCCTGATGTTGCACAGAGCCTTGTCCATCAGCAATACACGCTAGGAATTCAGGTACTACTCTCATGATTTTACAACCATTTTAACAGTGGTCTGAATGTCTGAAATGCAATGTGAGATAATGAACCTTCCTATCCCATCAGAAGCACAAATTCAGAAAATTCTCTCTTTACCATTTTGCCTGTTATTCCAGTCAACAACAAATGTTTCATTTCATTTTCTGTAACTCGATAAAGGCTATTGTTCTTAACATTAAAATAACTTGCACTTATTGCATACTGGCTTCAGTATAACAAGCTGCCTCAAAGCAGTGTGTAACGGGCTCATGAGAAACCAAGGGAAAGTGATCAAGGGATGGCTGAAGTGATAGGTTTCCCAAATTAAGCTTCTGAAAGTGAGAGGGCGAGATATTGTAACACGCGCAGGGTTCAGAGGAGCACTCCAGAATGGAAGACGACGACACGTAAAAGATTCTGAATTGTGGTTGGTACTAGCTAAACACAGGGTTGAAAGAAGTTGCAGAGTGAGTTGGTGAAGAAATGCTCTGGGGTATGGGAGCCAGTGAAGATTGGTGAGGACTTCAGCAATGGGTGCCACGTCTCTTAGCAACAGCAAGATCCAGACACAGTAGTGATAATCTGACTATATCAGATTCAAAATTAATAATGCAGTAAAGTTCAAGACATAGTATGACAGGCAAGTGAACTTGATACGAGTTAAGGGTGTGTAGTGAATGTAGCTTGGGAGACTGGCTAAGATTGGAAAATTCTACCCTGAAGGTGAAAACTGTCAATGAAGGCTTTGTTGGTACAGCTATGAGACAAGAGCATCTTACCATCGTGGCATGTTCTCCCAGTTATACGGAATGTTGAAGAATTCAGTGAAGTAGTAAGTACCACAGATCAGAGGCAGCTGGATACAGAAGTGATTGAACAGCAACACTTTGAAGCACTTCCACTGTTTCTCAATACTCTCCGGTTTGTCCTAAAATTAAAAATTATTTTAATAATGAACTCTCTCATTGTATGAACAATTTACTTGAGAAAAGTAAATAATCGGAGAAAAATTAAAAACAGTTTTCTCGTGCAGACATAATCCAGCTCTAAATATTTACTGGCCACAATCCCAGCAGTTATTACGGGATTCTACCCATTTTCCTATTCTTTCCCAAATCAGTGAGACTGCTGCCTATTTGCATGTACACCACAATAGTGTAGGCATTGATGCCTCACCCACCAACTTTGGGACGGAGCTCTCCAGGTCTCTATCTCTCAAAAACTCTTGGAAGACGGAGTAGTCACCAAGGCCTCCGGTGTTGTTTGTTTGCAGAGCTTCCACTCCTTACATGTCCAGTCAGACACTCCCAGTTTTGACACATGACAATCTTGACTTTTCCTAGTTTATTTTGTTGAATTCCCAAGGAAATCTAAAGGCTAGGGTTTGATTAAACAGCAATCAATGGTAAAATCATTGAGAAAATTTACTTTGACAAGTCATGTCAATCAAATAACTCCAACTATATGGAGACTGAAACCAGCTAATCTAATTCAGATACTTAATTTAGTTCAAATCGTTTTCTTAAAAAAAAATCATTCATAGGATGTGGGGACGGTGGTGCTCCAACTTCTTGAACACAACGGAGTGGTTCACTAGATCATTTCAGAGGACAGTTAAGAATCAAACATAGTACTGTGGGTCTGGAGTCACAAATAGACCAGAATGGTTAAGGAAAATTTCTTACCTAAAGGCCAGCTGAGAATCAGGTAGGTTTCGCAACAATCTGAAAGTTTCATGGTTACTTTTATTGATACTAGTTTTTTGTAACGTACTAGAAATGATGGGGAATATGGGGTTTTTTGAAAGGGAGGAACTGAATCAAATCTGTATTAGTAGAGAAATGGTGTTGGGGAAATTGATGAGATTGAAGGCTGATAAGTCTCTAGGGCATGATAAATCTACATCCCAGAGCACTTCAGGAAGTGGCCGTAGAAATAGTGGATGCATCGGTTGTGGCCTTCCAAGATTCTTTAGACCCTGGAACAGTTCCTACAGATTGTAAGGTAGCTAATGCAATTCCACTATTATTAGGAGAGATAGAAAGAAAACAGGGAATTTTACAGCAGTGAGTCTGACATCAGAAAGAGGAAGATACTAGCATCCATTATCAAGGAGTTTATACCAGAGCACTTAGAAAACAGTGATAGAATCAGATACAGTCAGCAGGGATTTACAAAGGGAAATCATGCTTGGCAAACCTACTAGAATTCTTTGAAGATATAACTGGTAGAACTGATTGGGGTAGCCACTGGATGTAGTTTATTTGAACTTTCAGAAGGCTTTTGACAAAGTCCCACATAAGAGATTAATGTGCAGTTAAAGTACATGGGATTGGGGTCATGTATTGGGATGGACAGAAACTGATGGTAGGCAGGAAACAGAGTAAGGACAAACAGGTCTTTTTCCAAATGGCAGGCAGTAACTAGTGGGGTATTGCAGGGATTAGTGTTAGGCCCCAACTATTCGCAATATACATTAATGATCTAGATGAGGGAACTAAATAAAATCTCTCAAAATTTGCAAATGAGACAAAACTGGGTGGAATAGTGAGCTGTTAGGACAATGCCAAGATTTGGCAGTACGATTTGGATGGCTGAGCGAGTGGGCAAATGCATGGCAGATGCAGTATAATGTGAGATTATCCACTTTGGTAGCAAAAATAGGAAGGGAGGTTATTATTTGAATGGTTGTATATTGAGAGTGGGGAATGTTCAACAAAACCTGGATGACCTCGTGCACTAGTTGCTGAAATTAAGTGTGGAGGGGCAGCAGGCAGTAAAAAAGGCAAATGGTATGTTGGCCTTCATAGCGAGAGGATTCAAGTGCAGGAACAAGGATGTCTTGCTGCAATTATATGGGGCATTGGTGAGGCCACACCTGGAATCTTCCTTATCTGAGGAAGGATGTTCTTCCTGTAAAGAGAGTGCAGCAAAGGTTTACCAAATTGATTCCTGGATTCACATACGAGGAGAGATTGGGTTAGCTACTGGAGTTTAGCAGAATGAGGAGTGGGGGATGTCATGGAAACTTATGAACTTCTAACAGCACTAGACAAGTTGGGTGCAGGAAGAGTATTTCTAAAACCAGGGGTCATAGTTTAAGGATAAGGGGTAAACCTTTTAGGACTAAGGTGAGGAGAAATTTCTTCACCGAGACAGTGGTGACCCTGTGGAAATCACTATCATGAGACCTGGATGAGGGTCAACACATTGTATGTTTTCAAGGAGGAAGAGAGAGAGAGACATAGCTCTTTTGACTAAAGGGAGCATGGGTATGGGGGCGGGGGGGGTCAGGGTGGAATTAGGGGATAGCGCTCAATGATCAGCCATGATCATAATGAATGGCAGAGCAGGCTTGAAAGGTTGAATAACCCACTCCTGTTCCTATCTTCTAACCCAGAATTTATATTCTCCAGTTGCTTTGATGGAACTTGAAGCCAAGTTCATGGATCATTAGTTGAGCCCTATAGAATAATGATCCAGTAACATGATCACAATGCTAGGGTATGTTTATTTTTGTTTTATAAAGTTATCCTCCATTTGCTGATGTTGTTAGCATTAACTATTTAAATAACATTATCAAGAAATTTTACAGTTAAAAGGTTACGGGGAGAAAGCAGGATTAGGCTATTGAGTTGGATGATCAGCCACAATTGTGATGAATTGCGGCGCAGTCTTGAAAGTCCAAATAGCCTCCTCCTGCTCCTATCTTCTATGTTTCCATTTAATTGTTTAAATAAGTTACTGAGAAAGAAAGTTTGTTTGAAGAATAGCAACACATACTGAAGGAAGACTCATCTGGAATAATTGCGCCTATTGCTGACCGAGAATGGAGTGTCAGCTAGAAACTATTTCTGCAATACAACTTTCCATAGAAAACGCAATTAAATACAAGTCTGTTTGAAAGTTAGCTTCACCAGACCCAACACTATTTTGATTATCACACTTAATGATAATCTGAATTAATATTTCCTGTTCTAAATGTTACTTTACATAAAAAGACCCAGGTATTTCTTGCAAATAATATCTAAATCAGCTAATATTCTGTTGCAGTGACAAGTTATGATCACACCTGTAAATTTCCTGTGACCAACTTTGCCCATTTTCAGTGATATCACTTCTTGCAGAATATCAGGCAATGATGGATGGTGAGATTCATTAAAAAAGAACAACGGTGGTTATTAAGGTATTTGTAACTAGCACTAGCAGCGTTGACAACCAAAGTCAGGCCAAGAACTTTTTTTAACAGCTGGAACTATTGATGCAATCCTCGGTGGGAAGGTTATACCTGTCCCCTTTTTACCATAATTTAAATCCCTCGTCACTCCTCACACTTGGTATGGCTTGGGTACGTATTTATCGGAATGTTCCTCGCAGTACGACGAGCAAAAGAGGTACTATCTGCTATAAAAGTTCTGGACCGCGACTAGACAAATACGCATTATAAAATATAATTAATGCGAACAGTGTAGAAAATCTGTGCAGCAATTTACTTAAAGGAAATTTGCGTTAAGATTCGGACTTTTGTTAAATAATAACTGCTGTTTCTACATTTGCACATTAATGATCGTCAATTTGATATAATTCACTTTCTGTCAGTAATAAAGACACCGAGATGCTGAATTGAGCATGGCAAATTACACGCTCCAAATTCTTGACAGCTTTTACACAGATTGTTGACGTTTATATTGAACAAATCGATCAACCTGAGTCCACGGCAACCATTAACTAGTTAAAGTTAAATTGTTGACAAATATGTGATTGTATGAATCCGTATTAAAATATAAAAATACTTTTGTAGAATTCAAAAGATGCCCAAGTTCCATTCTAAATAAGTGACTCCCCACCAACACACACAATGACTTCGATACCATTCTTACCTTTTGTATTTTATATTTCTGCATGGCTGGAATAAACTGAAAAATAAAACCCGGTAGACAGAACAAAAAATAAACGCCTTCGTGAACCAGAAGAGAACCCCAAGTAGCAATTTGGAATTTGGTAAAATTGTCCAGCATGTAGTTCCAGGCATTTTTAAAAGGCTGTTGCAAAGGGTTTTCGGGGAGTAAGGAGTCCATGTAATCAATGGCTAGAATTGCAGAGGTGATAATACTGCTGCTGCTGTTGTTGTTGTTGTTTCCATCCATCCTGCCGGTCGATCATTTACTGTTTAAAGCGACCAGCCCGGTGCAACCTGCCAGCACTTAGCTGAGGTAGTACCATCACCTTATCCAGGCTCACTTTCTGATTGACAACCGAATAATCCAATGGGGAAACCGGACTGCTCTGAGTGACAGACCAGTCCTGCCATCTGATCCAATCCACGTGCAAAAAGGAGGCGGATCCTACGTTGCCGGTGTGAAAAAAAACTCGACTCATGGTGATCGCGGGTGCTGATTGGACGAGGCGGTGGACTGATGTTGCGCTGTACGGGCAGTCCAATATGCAGAGAATACGTCACAACAACCCAACTGGGATCACTTGTAGCCGGAAAAGATGCAGAACCGATATTTACACCGGTTCCAGTTACACATTTCTATCATTCCTTTCTGGAAAAAGCAAGCATCAAACAGCAAGTTTATATGTCTGAATAAAAAAAAACTGCGGCTGCTGGAAATCAGCAACAAAAACAAATCGTTGGAAAAAGTCAGCAGGTTTGGCAGTATGGGTGGAGAGAAGGGTTACTAGTCCCGAAACGTTAAGTGTGCTGACTCTTCACACATCCTGCCAGACCTGTTGAGTTTTTCCAGCAGTTTTTATTAAGGTCTCAAGGCCTGAGATCTTGCTTTGCTCTCTCCTGGGTGACAAATCCTCATTCAATATTTCTGATGATTATTTTACAATGCTTGCATCTCTTTTCATGTTCCAGACATCCTACTGGTATTTGAAGCCCACAAGGCGTCATATCTTCCCCATGGCAGGTAAAAACAGCAAAGAGCAGATAAGAAAAAAAAAGCCTTTGGAAAACTGGGAGAGCAGTCAAAAGTCTTTTACATGGGCTATGATCCACCAAAGAGTGAAGTCTTACAGAGACATTATAGAAATTTAAATCAAAGTTGCAAAGGAGGTGTGGCTCTGTTAATTAAAGATTACATTAGCACAGTGGAGAAAGATGACCTTAATTCAAGAAACCAGAACACAGAAGTAGTCTGGGGAGAGATGAGGAGGAGTGATAAAGTCAAGAGGTCATTTGTAGAGGCTTCCTAACAACAACCACATGGTAGCTTGGGATATTAAGGAAGAAATAATGGGAGTTTGTCAGAAGGGTTTGGCCATAGTCATGGGGGATTTTAACTAACATAGACTGGAAAAATCAAATGGGAAAAAATAGTCCAGAGGAGGTATTCAATGAACATTTTTAGGACAATTTCTTAGACCATCATTGTGACACTGACCAGAGAACAGACTACACTAGACATAGCTTTGACCAATGAGATAGGATTAATCACTGACCTCATAGTCAAAGCATATCTGGGTTGCAGCAACCATAATCTGATTGAATTTTACAAACAATTTAAGGGAGGGAAGTGTGGGCCCAAGACTACTATTTTGTATTTAAACAATAGCAATTACGCTGGCATGAAAGCAGAGCTGGCAAAAATGAACTGCCAATTTAGGTAATAGGTCAGAAGATGCAGTGGTAAATGCTTAAGAGCATAGTCCAGAAAGTGCAAAATAAAATTTCTATTTGTTGGAATGTACACAAGGGATGGACCTGCCATCCATGGTTAACTAAAAAAGGGTCAAAGATAATATCAAACTCGAAAAAGACGTATAATTCTGCAAAGATAGGTGGAAGATTGGTCTGAGTATGAAAAAATAGCAAATAATTACTAAAAGATTAATAAGGAGGGAAATATTAGTGTAAGAGAGAAAGTTAGCCAAAAGATATAAAAGCAGAAGGAAGTTCCTTCAGATATTTAAAAAGAAAATTTAGTGTTGGTCCTATAGAAAATAAGTCTGGGGAATGAGTGATAGAGCATAAAGAGATGGCAGACAAACTGAACAGATATTTTGTCTTGGTCTTCGCTAAAGAATACAAAGTAGCATCCTGGATTTAGCTGTAAATCAGTCATTGAAAGGGAGGGGGTTCAAGTTCCACCTGCTCCAGAGGTGTGAAATAACATCTCTGAATTAGGTTGATGAGTAAAACAGATTAATTTTAAAAAGAATTCAAGAGAATTACAATTATCAAAGAAGTGGTGCTGAGAAAATGGTTGGAACTGCAAGTTGACAAATCCCAGGTCGTGAGGAGTTTTATCCTAGGCTCTTAAAAGTTTCAAAATGTGAGGGAGGCAGAAAGGAGGAAACTACAGGTCAGTTAGCTAAGCATTTGTCACAGGGAAAACGTTAAAAACTATTTAAAAAAAGACAGTATAAAAGGACACTTGGATAATTTCAAGGTAATCAGGTAGAGCTAATATGATTTTGTCAAAAGAAAACATATTTAATTATTTTATTGTAGTTATTTGAAGTAGTAACTTGTGCTATAGATAAAGGGGAACCAGAGGATTTTTTTTTTTTTTTTATAAGATTTCCAGAAGACATTTGATAAAATGCCACATCAAAAGGTTATTGCAGAAAACAAAAGCTCATAGTGTCGGGGATAATAAATTGGCATGGATTGAAGATTGCCTTGTTACCAGGAAGCAAAGAATAAGATAAGTGGGTCTTTTTCAGGCTGGCATGAGTGGTGTACCACAGGGTTGGTGCTACGGCCTCAACATTTTACAATTTATACAAATGATTTGGATGAAGAGATTGAAGGTTTGGTTGCTAAATTTTTTGATGACACAAAGAGAGGTAGGAAAATGAATTATGAAGAGGACACAAGGAGCCAACAAAGGAATATAGATAGGTTATATGAGTGGGCAAAGATCTGACAAATGGACTACAATGTGGAAAATGTGAAATGGTCTAATTTGACAGAAAGAATAGAAAGAAGCAACTACCTAAATGGTGACAGGTTGCACAGCTCTGAGATGCAGAGAGATCAGAGTGTCCTTATGCAGGAGTCAACACCAAGTTAGTTGGCAGGTATAGCAAGTAATCTGGAAAGTAATAGAATATTATGGTTTATTGTGAGCAGAATTGAATGCAAGAGGTTATGCTCCAGTTGTACAGGGCATTGGTGAGACCACTTCTGGAAAACTGTGTACAGTAACATCCTTTCACAAGTACAATGACCAGTAATATGTTGGAACCAGACTAATACCTCAAAGGAGTATATTGCCTTATTCAGAGGGGCTAGATAGGCTAGGTTCTGGAATTTGGAACAGTCAGAAGTGAATTAATTGAAACAAGTAAGATCCTGAGGGGACTTGACCAGGTGGATTTGAAAGCATGTTTCCTCTTGTGGGAGGATCTATAACTAGGAATCATAGTTTTAAAATAAGAGGCATTTATTTGAAACAAAGATGAGGAACTAATTTTACTCTCAGCATTGAGATCTTTGGAATTCCCTTCCTCAAAAAGCAGCGGATGCAGAATCTTTAAATAGTTTAAGGTAGAGGTAGATAGATTCTTGAGTACCAAGGGGAATGAAAGATTATCAGGGATATGCAGGAATGTAGAGTTGAGTTTAAAATCAGATCAGCCATGATCTCATTCAATGGCAGAACAGGCTCAAAAGGGCCAAGTGGCCTACTCTTGTTCCTTGTTCCTATGTTTGTAAAACCTCAAGAATGATCTCAGAATTACTCCCTGTAACACATGCTGGTAAGTTAGGTAAAGACAGGTTAAATTCATTAACCAATAGTCTCTAAAGCACAGAAGGGTTTCCGACTCATGGGACAGTATGCCCGACAGGGAAATCTAAAGTTACGAAATTTGTCAGATGGAAGACTAATCAGAAAAATAGGTGTAAACCTAAGGTATTGCAGCAGGAAGCAGATCTTGAGGTTTTAATGTACATATTGTTAAATCCATCCATAGACTATTGTCAAGTTTATTGAAAAAGGCCACTAGAATTTTAGGATAAATAACAATGGATAACATTGCACTGCGGCCATTTTAAAACATACTTACCTCAGGTGAGACTACATTGAGTATTGCATATTCTTTGGTCTCTCTGTTTCAAGAGTATGTTTGGTTTTGTAGGCGTTACAAATGAAAGCCTACAGAGTTGATGCCAAATCTTAAGAAAACAATGGCAAGCCTAGTTCTTTTTAAGTTTGACAAATGACTGAAAGAGATATGATAGAACACTATATGATTGAAGGTTTAAACAAATGTAAGGCAAGCATTTCTGCTGAATTCAGAATTTAAACACGGATTATATTTACAAATTTGGACAACAAAATAGACAATGCAGTAAGAACCTGTCTTAAAAGCTTATTAAGTGTGTGAAAAGGATTACTAATATGGTTAATGGAACCAAACTTTAACGGCTTTTAAGAAGCAGGTGGACAAGTATTTGTCAACTAATAAGACTTTAGTACATCAAGGTGCGCCAATTAGACAAAAGCTTTTCTGCCTGAAAGTCTTGCTATGTCAGTAATTTAGTTTGATGCTTAGAAACAATGTATTCATACAGCACATCTAATGCAATAAACATCAAAATATATTTCACGGAAGCATTGGGAAATCAGAAGTAAGTTCTTTACTCAAGAGTGGTGAAAATGTAGAACTCATTACTGCAAGGAGCAGTTGAAGCAAATACAAAGAAATCCTGGTGAGACAAATTCACATAATCAAAAACTCCAATTGTGGTGAAGTTGTTAGCCATTCCTTCAGGCAGAATAGGAAATCCGGTAGAAGAATGTCCATGATAAGCCAAAATTCCAGCTGGGAACTCATACTCATAAATGTTTGTCATATGCCCGTGCCAATTAAAGCTGAGTTAGACCATGAAAGAGTGTGAAACATAGAGATCTTTCTTCAAGAGGATGTTCAAACTCTGCAAGCATGCCTAAGAGAATGAGAATAAAATGCTGTCCATTGGAGACAAAGCCAAAAAGACTAATAACTCTGAAGAGTCGGATAAACATCCTCCCGGTCAGCTGTCTGTTTCCCGAGTTGAGTGCAAAGGCCAAGAGATGTTCTGGGATTTCAAAGTGGAAAAGATGTCTGATCGCATTGAAGACATGGCAAACAGTATCACACACATTTGAAGATAGTGCACTAAGCCAGAAAAGATTACTGAGATTTTCAGAGCTGACTTTCAATATTTTCCAATGCCTTTTACTGGAAAAGATCGGGCC